GGACCAACATCGAACCACACTCATCCTCCTCTCTCGCCAGCAGGCAGTTCGAGAGCGTCGTCAAAGGCCCTACTCACGCACCCTCTGCCAAACCGTGGAACCAGGTAAGTGTTGCACTGCACACTCAGACCCCTCTTCAGGTTCCTGCGTTCCACCTCGCTGCCCCACCGCGGGTACGTCGGTGTTCCCGCTGGTCCAGCTTGTGTGGTGTCTGGGTACCTGGCTACCCATACCGTCTCGCTGATTCCTGCGGACCATCAGACTTGCTCCCGGAAGAATGGAGACTCCATCCCCAGACGGTCCAGCTGATTTGGGGTCGTTTCAGAGTCGCTCAGGTAGACCTGTTTGCCTCTCCAGAAACCTCTCACTGCCAGTTGTTCTACTCCCTGACCGATGGAACACTCGGCACGGATGCACTGGCACACAGCTGGCCGCGGGGCCTTCACGACCCCTCTTCAGGTCCCTGCGTTCCACCTCGCTGCCCCACCGCGGGTACGTCGGTGGTCCCGCTGGTCCAGCTTGTGTGGTGTCTGGGTACCTGGCTACCCATACCGTCTCGCTGATTCCTGCGGACCATCAGACTCTGCTATGCGATTCAGTTCGCCCAGCGTCCCCCCAAGTTCAGCGGCATCCGCTTCACATCAGTGAAGGCGGCTGATGCTCTTGTCTTGCGTGCGGAGATCGCAGTCCTACTGGCAAAGGATGTGATAGAGCTGGTCCTTCCAGCCGATATGGAGATGGGGTTTTACAGCCCCTACTACATTGTACCCAAGAAAGGCGGTAGATTATGACCGATCTTGGACCTGCGTGCATCCGTCCCCGAGATTGGTTTGCAGCGATCGACCTGAAGGACGCGTACTTTCATGTGTCGATCCTTCCGCACCACAGACTATTGCTGCGGTTCGCGTCCGCAGGACGAGCATATCAGTACGAGGTCCTGCCCTCCGGGCTGTCCCTGTTGCCCCGTGTCTTCACGTAAGTTGCGGAGGCAGCCCTTGTTCCCCTGAGAGAACAGGGCATTCGCATTCTCAACTACCTCGACGACTGGCTCGTACTAGCTCAGTTTCAGGATCAGTTGTGTGCACACAGGGATAATATAATATAGGGTTGGTTAATATACCAACCTTATTGAAGTACTGAAATCTGTTTTGTACCTTTGTAATACACTGATAACCACCCTATGCAGGTGGTGATGATAAAGTCACATGATGAACCAAAGCCCATCACAAGCAGCTTTTAAATAATAACATATATAGAAGGTGCACAGTGTCATTCACACAAATACTAAACACCATCATGGTAACACACATGAAACTGAAATAATGAAATAAACATTCATTTAACAATACGAGACACGCTTACGCCTTGAAGTGGAACCTGTTCTGTTCACCGAGAAGACCCCCGGAAATGTCCGATCAGAGTCGTGCTGTCCTTTCTGCAGCAGGAGTTGGAGCGAAAGCTGTCTCCCTCCACCCTTAAAGTCTACGTGGCTGCCATTGCTGCCAGCCACGACCCCGTGGAAGGGAAGTTGGTGGGGAAGCATGACCTGGTCATCAGGTTCCCTAGGGGGGCGAGAAGGCTAAATCCTCCACGACCCCCCTCTATACCCTCTTGGGACCTGACTCTAGTGCTCACAGCACTACAGCAGGGCCC